GTAAAAGTTAAATATGTAAAGTGGGTTAGTGAAGGTTTTGATATAAGAAACAGCAACTAGGAAAAAGTAAAGTATATGACCCCATGAGAGGATATTAACATTTTAGTTATGGTGTCCATTTTCCCTTGCAAGCTAGGATAGGAACTGTCTATCTGTGGGAGAATCTTAAATGACCCTCCACCGCCCACCCGGCATGGGAGTCACACACCTACCAAGCAATCACGGCACACAGTGACGAAGGGCACATGAATGTTAAGTCTAGCGGGTAAATCTTGCAGTAGTGACTTCAACGCCCCCCTCTCCATACTGTGTTCGCCCATCGGGGACCCAGGCAACCCTTCCTTCTTTGATGTTCTGCCCATTAGACTATACGCTTCTTTTAGAGAAGGCGTTTACAAAACTTAATACTATCCCAACAGCAATCGCCCCACGGGGAATAACAGGACTGACTAGATGAGCATAATTACTTTGAAGCATTGGTGAGTCTGACTTAAGATGACTTCAGACTCTGGAGGTAAAAGAAGAGAACTCTTACTCCAGAGAGTTTTCATCAGGAATTTCATGGTGCAGAACTGATGAATGTCATTCAGTACTAGTGGACACTGACCGTAAGGTAGAAGACATAGGGTCTTCCTACTTGGAAGCAAAGGGATATTTTTATAGATTCTAACATTTTTACAATGAAGGCAAAATTTCACGGGGGCATCACTTTCCAATTAGGAAAGCCAGAAACTTTAAAACTTGATCATCCCCGCATTTTCTCCTTTTATATTTTACTTTGTGTTTCCCAGTTATGCTTATTGATGAATGATGGGAGATACTGATAGGTGGACTCATATATATATATATACACATGTGCATATATATACACACACACACATATATACACCTAGTCATTGTGAAAAAATTAGCAAAAGATGGGTGCATGTGTACCAGTAGGCAATTTTTACTTAAAACAATCTGCAAAATGTAACAAAAAAAAAGTAGTAAAAAGTAGCTGAGAAATCAAACATAAAAATCACAAAATAGCCAGGAATCAAGCAGAATTGAATGGATGTGGATCAAGAATTCCTGAAGAAGGTAGTGTACTTCCCCTATACTTTCACCACTGTGAAAAAGGCAGATGTAGCACCAGTACAGTGACCCAAACCAGCACGGATCTGTAAGATCTGAAAGCAGGGTCTTGGCTAAATTCTAAAAAGTGTCAGGTACAGCGGCTTAGCTCCACTTTAGAAAGACAAATTCTGGGACAGTTTACAAAACCACGGTCAGGAAAAGAGCCAAGTGTAAAGGTGTTTGAAGTTTATAATCAGTGGTAGATGTTGGACACCCCAAAAGTCAGAGCTTTTTTTTAAGCCTCAATGGGTCAGGCACTCTGCTAATAAGCACTTTTTATTGCTTTCCTCACTGTCTTTGTAACAACTCCATGTACTACATACTATTAAATGTTCCCTTTTCATAAATAAGGACATTGAGACAGATTAAGTAATTTCTCCACAGTCACCCAGCTAATAAACAGCTCAAGAGGGAAAGAAACTCGTGCAGGCTGGGCCTGCAACCTGAACTCTTAACCAGCTGGCTCTAAGCCTAGAGAGCAGGACATGTTGGTGAAGAGGTGATCCCGTATGACCTGTGTGCTTCTCCATCTGGCAAACTTTGTGCTGAATAGCAGAAAAGAATTTTTTATACAGGTTTAGTCCATGTTACTAAGTGTAGTCTCAATGGAATTCTTAGTTTCCTTGCACACTTTTGTTTTTCACACTGAACTGGCTGTACTTAGAAACCAAAGCACGAAGCTAAGGTTAAAAGTCAGTGTGGAGATACAACGATAGGGCACTGGGCTGAGAGAGTCAGGCTTAGATTACAGTCTCTTTTCTGCCACTAACTCACCATGTGAATGTGGGCTAAATCATTTGTCCTCAGTAAAACTGGAGCTTAATCACGTCTGAGGCCATATTAAATGCTGCAATGTGATGACCTGGACAAGTATTTTCAATGAATTAGTAACATTTACAATTACTTGCATCATCGCTAATCTGACTTTCTATTTTTGCGTATGACCTGTGCATATATATTTATGGTTCTCCCTTTGGATTTCAACGTGAACATTAAAAAAACAGATCATGACAGGCATGCAAACGCCACGTACGATTTTCTTATCGTAAGACTCTCCACTGCTGTAGGTGGTGGCCAGCGTGGATGAACACTCTTCCAGGTACCAGGGCTTCTTTCCGCTTTCCGCTGTGCTGCTGATGGAGATGGTGTAGATGCTGTTGGTGTAGCCATCGCAGGAGCAGTGGTCTTTGCTCCTTCCACCATTTCCGGATGCCCAGACAAACACAGAGCCGAGGCCTCTCCGCCCCTGTTCACAAACAGAGAAACGGTCTGAAAATGACGGTCTGAAAAGATGAGGATCACAGGTACTAAATGAAGAGGAGATCAGAATAACAGGGCAAAACTGAATATCTGCAGAAGGCATGTGATGTTATTTTAATAAGCTGGGCTTAAGCTGCTTTTGAGTGGAGGTAAGAGGAGTTATTTCTATAAATTAAAACAGTCACACAAGTAACAAGCACACCAATAATGACAATAATAATGGCTAACGTCTATGGACTGAGCACAATTCTAAATGCTTTGCATGAAATGGATTGAATCTTTCAACAACTTTGTGAGACTGGTACCATTTTTGTCCCTATGATGCAGATGAGAACTTGAGGTACTTAAGTGTAGGAGGTTATGCATCTGTGCTGCATCACATCGTCAGCGGGCAGCAGACGCAGGTACTGACCAGGTACTTACTTCTGGAACCTACCTCCCCTATGCATGGTGTGGACACTCATTACGAAGGGATGTTAATGGATGCCACCATAAATAAAGGATTTCAAGACCCATACTTTTGGGAACCCCTTAGTTATACTAAATTAAATAAGCTTCTTTATTGTAAAACCTCTAGGAGCCTTTAGGAAGTGAGCGATCACTGCAAAATTCTAAGAGCAGGATAGAGTCTAATGTAATTTCCAAACATATTTGATCATAGATACCTTCTTCAACCAACTCCATTAACTTTTTTTTTTTTTTTACAATGCTAGGAGATGGAGTCACATTCTTTATGCCAAAATGAAACAATTAAAAGACTTTCCTGTGGTCCTAAATAATCAAGGGATACAAGCAAAGTAGAACACAGACTTATGAAGTATAATGACTAGTTCTCTCAGAGGAGGTCTTCAGGAGAAAGCAGAGAAATAAGCCAAAGTGAAGAGTATTTCTGGGAATAGTTATGGATGAATTCCTAAGAAATTTTACCATTTTAAAGCTAGAAGGCACGTTGGAGGATATCTAGGCCAAATCCATTATTTTGTAATTAGGAAGTAAAAACCAAAGCCACATAGTTGGTGATTGCTGAGCCTCTTTCTTCCCTCCAGGCCCTAACTTTCTGGTCATAAGTGGAAGGAAAAGTGTTTAGGACATTGTCTTAGAATTTCTGGAAAAAGAGACAAAGAAAAAGAGACAACAAAGAATCTAGGGTATCCATGATAAACTCTCCTTGACCTTGAATCTTGAAGAAACAGAATGAGTATTTATGACATGATTTGATGGACCTGAACATAGATTTCTTTCTGTCCTTCAACTTGGAAAAATGCAATATGATTACATAGGAACAGGAAAAATTCATGGAGAGAGACGAGTATGACCTTCTGGTTGCTGTGGCTATAAATAGCTGGGCCTGGTTTACCATCCGCCCCCATCCCTTCCCATTAGAATATTCATGAAACACAAAGGACACAAAAATTACCAAGCTATCATAAACTAAGAATCTTGTTTAATTCTTTGTCAGTCTCTAGGAGGAATTACACCTCACTAGGGTGTGGGTGGTCAGACTGAGAAACCCTGGTGACTGACTCATATCTAGGCCCCAGAGACAGAACAACATAGCCAGAGAAGGAAGAGTCTTTTAATCTCTCATCAATACATCCTTCCATACATCCCCTAATTGGACATTGAGAGGCTACGTTTTGGGCAAAAAGCACGCCACATTGGGCCTTACCTGACAGGTGAACAGAACTCGTGAGATGGCACACCCACCTGGTTTAAACAGCACCATAACAGATGATAAAGAACCGCAAAGCAATGAAAAAGCACGAATGGTACAATCACATGTGTATATCTCTGTAAAATTATGACTGTGTGCCTATGTATGAAATTCAATTAAAAGATCTTTAAAAAGTAATTTGATTTTAGAGAATATTTAATAAAATATTCAGGAAGTTCTTTTGTGTTCATGATGTAGTTACAAATGTTGGATGTGAAATGATAAAGTCTGATCTCAGTTTAGGAAAAAAGTGTGTGTGTATGTGTGTGTGTGTATGCAAAGAAGTCTATGTGTATAAAGTTAGACATGTAAAGCCACCATAAAGTGACAACATAATAGACATCCTGTTTGGTTAAGTTTAGGAAAGATTTTTATTTTCTTTTTTATATCGACCTAATCTGACCATGTGCTACTTATAAAAGTAGAAACAAACACATGAATTCCTCTATTAAGAGGGAAAATACAAGGTCAATTCTGAAGAGATAACTTGTTATGTTATGATCGAAAGAGATTTTTACCCATAGAAGGTCCACTGTGTTCTAAAAACAACACAGCCTAACATTTCTAGAAACTTGCTACACTCCAAGCACTATGCAAACATTATTCTGCACAATCCAAGCCCATATCCTCATCCTTTCACAGATGAGCAAACTGGGTCTTAGAAATGCTCGCTAATGCCAGAGCCAGACTGAGTCTCTAAGTGGCAAAGCCTGAGCTATTAGCCCTTATAACAACAGCTTCTTTTGGGCAAAAAGAGGGCTAGCGGTTATTGTATTGTTTTCAGCTAAATCTCCCGTGTTTTCGTTGAAACTTGGTATTAGGATCTAAGAGCAGGCCAAGTTCTTTCTAGAGTTGGTAGGAGAATTAGAGCTGATACTGAATCAGAACCAGGGAGGGGCTCCCCCTCAGAAGTATGAACACAAGTCATTCTTTTCTGGCAGCATCCACAGCTGATCCCATTAAGAAGGACAATGGCATTGCCTAGGGGTCCTCTGGGGCTCCACTGGGTTGAGAGAGTCTTGGGTTAAGAGGATAGCGGGTCTTGCTACTGCCCTAAAAATGTCCCTTCAAGACAGAAACAATGTCCTTGTATTAAACACACAGTTTGAGGGAATTCTTTTACAACTGAGCATGGTGAAGGGAAATCCCAAAAGAGAGTGCAGGGTCAACAACACTCCCAGGCCTGAGCTGCACAGGGAGATGGGAGTCACTGGAGCTGAGACAGGCTAACAGGAGTTGGTCAGGGGACACACTAACTCACATTGGCCATGCAGGGAGGGTGACAGGTGAACACATGCCGAGCCCTCAATCTCCTCCTGCGACAATCCTGTTTCTTGCCAGTAGACTCCACTGGTCAAACCCCACCAGAAGCCCATGAACCTGGCAGTCCACAGGCAGAGGCCATAGAGAGCAGTGTCGCTATGCACGGAGCTCATGGAGAGAGATCTTAAGGGTTAAAGAGGAGACATTCAGAATAGTCCCTAAAGTGTGCTAAGGACTGAGCTGTGTTCCCCCCAATTCATATGTTGAAGCCTTAAAACCCAATGTGACTATATTTGGAGACAGGGTTTTTAATGAGACAATTAAGGTTAAATGAGGTCAGAAATGTAGGGCTCTAATTCGATAGGACTGGTGTCCATATGAAAAGAGGAAGAGAGGAGTTTTCTCTTTCTTGCAGTGTGGGCACAGAGAAAAGTCCACACCAGGGTGTAGCGAGAAGGTTGCTGTCTGCAAGCTGTGGAGAGAGGCTTCACCAGGCTCCAGCTCAGCTGGCATCTTGATCTTAAACTTCCAGCCTCCCAACCTCTAGAACGTCAAGAAAATAAATTCTGTTGTTTAAGCTGCCCAGTCTGTGGTGTTTTGTTACGGCAGCCGGAGCTAACTAACATAAGGAGAGAGGAGGAGATAAGCATGGCCTGCCCCTGTTGGATTCCGTGTGTTCTGACACGGGATACACAGAGGCTGCCGCCATTCTATCCATGAGGCAATCCGGCCTTTATGTTCGTGCTTTATCATTAAGGTTCCAGGAATAAACAGACTGAATTTCTGGGCTGAAAATGCCACACAGACAGCTGCTAAAGATCTATGGGGTTAATGTGAAACAATTAACAATTCAAAGATTTATTTACTACAGATGCATAGGGGGTTTTCATTAGTGTGAAACATCCAGAAACCAAAACATATGTGGAAAAAAAAATCTGGACATTTCTCCAACATACAGAGTAATTTAAGAATTAAACGTTAGTGTGGGGCAGAGGGAGCAGGGAGGGTGGGCAGAGTACTATAAAGAGAAAAGGATCTTGAGGCAAATATTTTCCTGAAGTGTAGGAAATAATGACATTTTTTAGCTTGGTGAATATTGTGACTACAATTGGTTATTTAAATACGGCTCTGTATGGCAAAAAAAGAAAAAGCCCTTTAGCTTAATTGAGTGCTAAGTTAAAAGTTAGTAAACTTAAGGTAAAATATATTGTGAAATCCATGCAGGATCCATTTGACCAAACTGTAAATACTCCTTTCGTGCATTAAATGTGCGTGTGTCTTTTCTCACATATGTCCTACAAAAATCAATTTATATTACCCCGTAAGCATTATTATTAAAGGATAGAAAGGGAGCAGACTTTCTTGTGGCTGAGGAGGTCAGAAAAGGCCACTTTATGCTGGATTACCAATTAAATCACACACCCCGAGCTAGCTTTTGAGAGCTGTGGAGTATGATGAAACTAAATTTCTTTCTTTAAAACGGTGTGTTTATTTTTTAGCCAGTGCAGTTAGGTTTTACTTGGTATTTTAATATTACTTCATTCTCCTGTGTTGCTTAGAAAATATTCTTAAAGGGCCATGAATAAATGGGAGGTTTCTTGTGATATAAAAAGGAGGAAGAAAGATAATAACATATATTAATATGTGGCTAGATACCGTGCTGGACACTTTCATATATTATTAGTCAATTTAGAGCAACATCATCATATTATATGGATTTGTACAGATTAGAAAACTGAGAAACATTAATATGCCCAGTATCATATAAACAGAATGTGGTAGAGACAAGTGGTAGAGACCTCAGATCTGACCAGACCATATCTCTATATGTCGACATGCAGAGGCACAAGAAAACTACTTTAGAATGAGGAACTTTCATTTATCTCTCACGTCTTCCAAGCACAGTCTCAATACTCAACTCACCAAAGCCCCCTGCCATTCCTCTCCCAACCTTTTTTGACATTCCTCCTCTCAGTGAGAAGAGAGCACAGTCCTCTCCATAAGCTCTT